AACAAACGACAGAATATATTATACATATTAAGTCCCAGATGTCCCAACTTATGCTTGAACGAATTGCTCGTGTCAAAAGTGACTAATTCTTTACGGTTTGATTACCATCCCCATTCCCTCYCCCAAAGACGTTTTCTCCTGCAAAGAGCAGCTAAGGGTCTATGAGCGGGCATGGCGATTGATCCTTGAAGATGTCTCGTATGGTGTTATAGGATACCTTTCATTTGCTATAAATCATTAGCAAAAGATCTGTTTTACTTCTACAAGAGTCGAATCTAAACTTCTCATCTTCTCCCCCGTTTCTATTTTTGTATGACTGAGTAAACAAAYCGATTCCTGGAAGAACTTGATCCATGTGTTAGAACTGGCGGGCCATTCACATCAACCTTTTTACCGAAGCGCCGGCCATCTCGAATTCTATTGTTTTAATTAAGAAATTATGGGATGTCGAGGGGCCAACTATTGGAAAGTCTATAGACTGCATTCRCAGCTGTCAGGTTTATATATCTTTACGCTTTTCAATGAGAAGMACATCTAAAAGCAATTGAATTTGCTGGTGGTTGGAACAATTCGATTGCACGTTACGTCATAGCGGCCATGTTGGTACCAATTAACAAAAGATTTCTCATTAGCATCCATTGTTAAGGGCACCACAATGGCCGCCATGTTTTTGTCTTTTGACTCTCTTGGGAATGCTTGCAACCCGTCAATATGTGAAAGAGCAAGACTACAAATCATTTGAAAACGCAATGCCCCCCACCCAAGCATATAAACCATATAAGCCATATATAATCATCATCATCATCATCATCATCATCAACTTCAGACATCTTTGCTACATAAATACGGAATATTGCGGGCATGAATAGTCTAAGCAAATATCTGCATGACGGATTTTACAAATCTCACATTTCACAATCTCACATTTCTGTGAAATAACCCGTTTCTGACACTTTCTTACAATCTTTAGTCCTTCAGTGAGGCCTACATCAGCCAGTTTACTAATCAAATCCGTGTCGTACCCAGATAGCAAGTCAAGTACTATGTTGACTTGCGTTACTTTATATCCAGGGTACATTCTTTTAAGACTAGATCTTAAGTCAATATATTTAGCAGTTTTCTTTTTATCCCTGTCAAGTATTGCTCCTACATTACAGACCGTTCCTTCAAATATAATCCATTGCTTGTCTTTCTTACTCCGCACAAGGATGTCTGGTTTATTTGCACCGCCTTTTGGAGGGCTGTCTTGGTAGACAGGGATATTCCAGTAGTATAGGCCGCATGGCACGACCCCGGTTTTCGCGGTGGATTTACTAATTTCTGCTGTGGATTCGAGTATATTTGCGGAGGATTTAATTATGTTCTAATACGTCACGCATTACGTGTATCATATGCGGTGGATTTAATTATTTTTATTACTTATTACCATAAAATGACGGGTAGGTATTGTGAAGTTGCCATGACGACCAATTGACGCCATGAGTTTATTGTTTGACAAGTTTGNAACGCCTACCACAATTTAACCAATTATTATCTTTAAATATCATTTACGTATTGGAGTACATTAGATCTTTAAAAGCGCCTCTAATGGGCAAATGAGCTTCCAGGTTCGTCTCACGTGCTATCCCTCAATTTCAGGAAGAGACTTCGTGTATTAAATCTATGAATCTCTCATGTAAGCCCAAGGTACTGGGTTTAAATTTCAGTAATTGCGATGTTTTGAAAAGGTCAAATCGATTGAATTGAATGTCAAAGAAAACGTTGGGTGCCCAGATGCTTGGTTGTCAGTGATTGGTTGATAGATACATGTTCACCAATCCAATATTGTTCTCATTRKTTTCTTTTGTCTTGTTCTCAGTATATAAACACTCCTTTCTACCACCTCTTTCTCTTTTACTCCGACGAAGGACTAGCGTCCGAAACGTCAGTAAGTTTTTTCATCTTTTCACGGTGTATAATTTACACTTTTATCATTACAATATTCAGGTAGTAGCAGGTACCTTCACTGGTTGACTGGTTCTTRATACCATGACAACAACTGAGGGAATCTTCACACTTTCATAGCATTCCAAGGTCGACTCTATTTTATCTCAATACCAAAAGAAAGCACCTAAAAAAAGACAAAGACAAAAACACATACAAAAAGAAAAAAAAAAGAAAAAAAAAAAAAAAAGACACACACACAGTTGTCCAAATATTTCAGTTTGGGTTTTGCAGTTGCTCAGGGTCTGCCTTAATTTGACCGTGCAGAATATTCATGTGTTCCAGTAAAGGTCCATGCCTATGGAAGTTCAAAGTTTTATTGTCCAAAGTTCTGAGTTTTTTAACATACTTCATGCATTAATTCAAGTATTTTGACGCAGAAATGATCGASGCTAACACTGAGTCTGTAATCAAGGAACACAAGATGTATATTTAAAGAAATTTAAAGGATAATTTGTAAATTTGAGCGAACATAGTACAAAGCAGCTTCGAACTATATTTTTCTTAAAGTGACTTTGAATAAAAATCGATTGATCTGGTTTCAATTTCCGCAGCCTGAAWACTATTACAATCGCTTTCTTTACATGTTTATCTTTCGTATGATTTTTATTAAGTAAAAATTCTTCTTTAAATGAAATCAAGTCAATGAATGTTAGAGAGAGAATTTCTGGATTCTTCTAAGCTTATTGAAAAATTAACTATAATCCAATCTCATGAATGGGGACGGGAAAAAAAGAAAAGAAAAGAAATCAAAGAAAGAATAAGAAAAAGAAAGTAAAAGAAAGTAAAAGAAAAGAAGAATGGGAATATGGACAGTGGAATACTGATCAGCAAACTGGTGTTAATGGTGAGTGATCTAAGGTGAGGGATTCTTGTCATCGCCCAAAATGGAAAGCAACCGTCTTCTGTCGGGCGGGTCCAAAACAACTTGCTCCGTAGACTAAACATCCCGAGTTTTTCTCTCTGCACAGAAAAAATATAATTGACAACTAAAATGTGATGATAAGAAGGAAAAACAACATGCATTTAGAGCTGCATCCGCGATGAAGAAAATAGAAGTGGTCCATCTCCATAAAGTACAAGAATACAACACCAAGGAGAGTTGCATCTCACTTGGGACTGAACCTTGATATGTATCAAGATTGTTCGGTAAGTGACTTTGAACTAGATAGGTCTACAAAGCAGGTGATAGGGTTGTGGTGTCTTGATCACTAGATCGTGTAAACATTTCAAAACGGTTGAATGAATTTAACTAGCCTTGAATCTGTAAAACTGTCTGTCCATTGGTATATTGAAGAGAAGCTTTTGCACGTCTGTATGGATTATAACAATTTCATCTCGCATTGTTAATAAAAGGGGGGAAAAGCAAGCGCTTATATTCTTGGCTTTTAAATTCACAATCCCTCCGATTCAAATAGTTGATTTTTACCCGGATATAATTTAATTCAGTAACTGGAAAACGATGTTTACACGCCGAGTTTGGTCTCAATATTTTCATGCATTTACTGAATTTCATCAAATCAATTCGACGTCAACTAATTTCCTTTTTTTATCAGGCCAGGTCCTTGAAGCGGAATTAATTCACCATCAAAAAATATTGAACAAATTTATTCTTTTTATTCCATTTTGAGTATTCCCAAGACCACAAAAATCGGAGGTAAATTAATACATTTTCCAGGCCCGTACTTCATCAGAAATTCAACCTGTTGCTGTTAGACAGCTCGCGGAACGTTGACTTTGCCAAACCTATATATTTTTAGTAGATTGAATTATAAACTGAAATCATCACTAGAAGCGTGTCCATCTTTCATGATACACCTTATTCGTTGACGTGCAATATTTTACCATTACAGACCACGTGTCATTCCCTTGAGAATGAAAATCCTTTGTTTAAATTGTAGTGAAAGAGCAAAGAGTATTGTGTTATGTTTCATACGACAACGAGAAGCTAAGACAGCCGCATTTTCCCCATCACTTAGGATAAATCAAAATGTTGACTTATTGTTATATTTGTTAATTTTCCCAAGGAGCTGAAGACATTGTAATGGTGGAAAAAGATGGAGAGAAAAAAACTCGCTCGTCCAAGTCAAGACGACCCCGTCTGCCGAAAAGCTATCGATTGCAGAAGAAGATTCCGGAATCGACTGGTAAAACCAGCAACAAGCTTAAGAAATTCAACTGCGGAAATCTTAACTGCACGACGGAAAAACTTAGCAGTCTTTTGATGTGTCAAAAAGGTTATGCTTCGTTTGCATTTTATGCTGTTTTTACATTATTTATTTTGGCATTCATATATGTTCTTTGGAAAATTGTTAGCGCAAATACGTCACGTTCGGGCCAAAATCGTAGGCCCGAGACGTCGCCGAAAGTCAGCCCGACGACAACTGCACCAACGTGGTCGGAAGAAGACCAAGAGGAACTGAAAAAGTTTTTCCCCACATCTGCATCTTTTGTGCCAACAAATAGTGGAACTAGAGAGAAAATAGACCCGACTTCGAGCCCTTTAACTTCACCTGAGCCCAGTATTCCATTACAAGATGCAAACCCGACAACAAAGGAGTTACCGAGACCAACTCAGAGCCAGATTTTTCAACTGGGAACTTATTTGCCATCGTTACCACGTTTGTTAAGGGGTTCAGTATTTGGAGAAGATGCGGTTACTCCCTTGTATGGGAGAGGCCGTCAAAATGCTGTAATTGGTGAAGATTTCACACCGCTTCCTGCCAAGTCTCCTTTTACATCAAGATGGCCGCCTTTGTCTAACTCTAATTGGAAAGCAGAACAACAAGAGCGACAGCGGATGTGGTCATTCAACCATCGACAGCAAATGCCATGGGCTTATCAAAGGAGAAACCCTCTAAAATCTCTTATGAGAAACAGTGAATTATCCGGTCAGCCAGTTAATGGCGATAAAGGACAGTATTCTCAAGGAAACGAAGATTCTATGAAAAGTAGTTTTGGAACAACTAAAAAAATGTCAACTTTGCAAAGCGAGCGGGATGAAGATCAAATGTTTACCTGGGGCCAGGAAGGTAAACACTTGCATATAACTAAGAAGCACGACGATGGACAGAAAAGACATCACAGATCTCATACTCGAAAGCATCACCACCACAACAAGCATAGAAACAGTGATGAAGAATCGAGGATTGATCCTGAAAGTGAGCAAGGTAATGCTCGCAACACCATTTCTCGTTCAAATTTTAATGATCAACAAGATGAAACGCAAAACAGCTTTATGGAGCACGGATCATGGTCTAAGAAACATCACCATAGGAAATTTGTTGGTGCTCAACGACATGACGATATGATTGATTGGGATGATATGAAGGTTACTGAAAATGATGGTGATATAAGCTATCATCATCAACATCGTTCTCATAAACAACATAAAAACTCTTACCATCACGAACATGATAATCATCATCATCCAAAACAACATGATCATCATCATCAGCTGCAGAAGGAAAACCAAGATGATGATCAAGATGATGAACAAGAAGAAAAAGAACAACACGTTTATCCCCACCATCATCTTCATCATAGTCAGAATCATCATCATGCACGCGTAGAACATCCATCAAAGAAACACTTTCATCACAATGGTATTTTGAATGAAGATTCTGAACCATATAAAGAACACAGACACAAAACAGTGCACCATCATTCTTTACTAAACACAGGACACTCTAAAAATACTGAACCTATCCATCATCCGAAACATCATCATCATAATCACGATCATCAACATCAACATCATCATCATCAACAACAACATCATCTTCATCACCATCACCACCACCACCAACAACAACATCAGCATGATGCTCATAAACAACAACAACAACAACATCCTCCTCCTCCTCCTCCTCCTCCTCCTCATCATCATCATCAACAACAACATCATCACCAAATCAAAAATACTAGGAGTCATATTACAAGACATCATCGCAAACCTGATTCAAATCACAAATCAAGCAAACATTCACCAACGAAGAATCCATCATTAAAACATTTCCATCATATCCTGGACTATAAGCATTACCTCCGATTCCAACAAAGCCACACTCTAGACGAAGAAGTTCATGGAAATTGGAAAGGAATAAGACGAAAAACAAAAGATTGCATCACTATCAGAACTTTTTCTGCCAACGGCAAAGTTCGCTTAACAAGAACTCGATACCGAGGGAAATACTTGTACACTGTACTGGTGTGCAAAGTTGTTCAAGTAAGGAAACGTGGAGGCAGCCACGAATCTGACTCCGGATATAGAACTGCACAACTATGCCATAAATTGTACTTTGTTACAAAATCTATAGTAAGGTTGAGTTTAGATAAGCCTTCAAAAGGTGGACATTTTTTGCCTGAATTTAAAGTTGAGGCATGTAAGCCTTCAAAAGATGTGCTTTTTCAGGCAAAGAGCTTCCAAGGTGCCTTGACTCACAATGACCGTTCACATAGGAGTGACATCCCGAAACATAAATATAAAACCAGRAAGGTGTCACTTCATAAGAAGAGCAAAAATGGGAAGTTGGTTCATAAACATAAAAGACATAAAGGCTCAAAGCATCATAGAACTGTAAAGCATAAACCCAAAGATATAAAACACCACACTGGACCAAATCACTCAAAGAATCATAAAAAAGAAAAGCTCAACACCAAAAAACGTGTTTCGCAAAAGCATGGCAAAACCAGCAAGGAAACAAAAGTCAAGAGTCAGGAAGACGTCTTCTTTGGAAAGTTGTTRAATATATTAACTATTGCAAGCGGGAACAACAGAACATCAAATTCAAGCAACAAACCATTGATGAAGCTAAAAGGTGCGCTGCAGAAGATGAAGAAAGCAAAGGAAAAGAAAGCAGAACAGGTAAAGAAAAAACACAAAACTTATGCAAAGGGAAAGAAAAAGCATGTGGAAGAGACTACGTTGCCTGATGTATCGAGTCCCAAATACATTCAAAAACTGCTGGAAAAGATATTACCCTCTGTGGTTAGTAATGTGAAGGCAGAYCTACAAGGAAGAAAAGCAGGAGACAAAGAAGATGGTATCAAGGAAAAGGTTAGTACAGCAACAACTGCTATTCCCACAACATTACCGCCAACAACGACGAAGCCCACGACAATTACAACTGCAACAACAACAACAACGACAACGCCGACGCCGACGACTCCGACAACAGCAACGACTAAGGCGAAAACTACTTCTACAACAACAAAACCAACCACAAAGCCAACGACAAAATCAAAAGGCTTAGAAGACGAACTCGAAGATATTCTTCCTCTTCTACTCAAAAGAGCTCAGCTCGCCAAGAAGACGACTCAGAAACCAACTACCATACCAACAACACAACCGACTCTCTCGAAGTCTAAAGAGATCAAGAATATGTTAGCTCGGCTTAAACTCGGTGGTATTGACCTTGGCGACTTAGTTGACCCAAAGCCTACCAGAGCAGTCAAGGCAACTGTAAATTATATTCATACAACAGTGCAGCAAAAACTGAATGAACTGTCAGAACCGGATGAGTTTCCTGAATCTCAACCGCATTCCCTACAGAATAATATGAATTTAAATCAAATTACAAACGGTGGGGGGCCAGTTTCAGTATTAGGAAATGATCCATTCTCTAAGAATATTCTATGCTTTGGCGATAGCCTTACTAAAGGTTACTTTAACCATGGACGAAGTACTCATCCTTACAGCATTCAGCTGTCACGCTTGATTAATACCAATAGCCAAGTAAAGTATAACCTGGTCACGAGTGGTAAAAACGGAGAAATGACTCATGGATCCATGACGAAACGATTACCGGAACTACTTGGCAACAACTCGCATTGTGATTGGGTTATCATTTTGGCGGGAACAAATGATGTCGCGCATGTAAAGAATTTTGGCGATGATGATTCCTTCATGAATCAGCTCGTTAATGTGTGGTCGCCGAAAATATTTCAAGATATCATTTCATTGCACGAGAGTGCGTACAAATATGGCGCTCGCACGGTTCTTCTTACCATTCCCGAAAGCGCATACGAGGCATGGCCACAATTTCGAACACTATGGATCATGCGCAGAAAGATCAACCAAGAGTTGAGAGAGTTTGCAAGTAGATCACAAGGAAGGACAATACTTTGTGACCTTGCATTGAAAATTCCAAGGCACTCTCTATCACCTCAGATGCAGAAGGTTCTGTGGAGTGACCATTTGCATCTAACGCCGTTAGGTTATGATAAAATGGCGGGGCTGATATATCAGTGTATAAAACCCTATTTGTAAACCGATTAACTCTTTTGTTACCGCTTGTAGATAATTATAATCATTTGTATATATATCATTTTTGTTATTAAAGGAAGTAAAAAGAGACGTTAAAATTGAACTAATAATTTTCGTCATCCACTTAACGTTGACTACAGGCCTTGTTTCTACTCCTTCGCCATTCTAATGGGGATAGCTATTCTTATTGGGTTTCTTTTTGAGTTCGACGACGCCAAACATGAAGGGGAAAGATTTCTCAAGGGTTTCAGCAGCGTTTTCTGTGACTGTACTCATATCTACTTTATTTTAACCATACTCTTCTGCGGCTGTGCGACAGGAATAATCCAAACATTCCTATTTTGACACTTACAAAACAATGGTGAACCATTTACATTTTATGAACTATTTTTATCATAGGTTACAGTGCCTCTCTGACGTTTACGAGGAAAAACGGCTTCTGAGTCACAAAAATTGGGAATATGCGTTACTAAAGAAAGAACTTATTATTAAGTCTGGAAAAATAAAATTTATGTCAATAAATAAATTTGCACTGATGCGATTCAAAATCACAGTCAAAACAAGGCCAATACTTCCACAAAAATTATAATTGCAAAGTGTGAAGCTTTGTGTCTTAACTTTATTGATAGTGTCAAAACCAGTGAATGTTAAGCCATGCACAAAACACAATCACGATGCCACTAGTTTTACATTTGCTTTCAGCGTATGACTGAGCTGCATACTATTGTTCCTTTACGTTGAATATATACGAGACTTTTTTAGAATCCATTTGCTTTCAATAAAATTTATCACTCCAGCTTCTTAGTGATGCGATCTAGTTAACTACTCAAGAGCTAGACTTTGGCATTAGACAAGTCTTTCTTCCAAGGCAACACTAATACAAAGACATTAGCCTAAGCAGTGGGGTCAACCTATATACGACCTCTACATATTTTTTTTAGGTTAATCAGTAAACTAAACAAAATGACTGCAAGATTTACATATATAGTGCTAGCTTATTTGACTTTTTTTAATCATCAAAATAGCTTTTAAAAGCAGATAACATGGTAGTATCATGTTTGTACTTAGCGATTGTTCATGAGTACAAATGAAATAACCGCGAGGCCAAGCACCTTCAGGATACTCTTTGACACCTTTGCTGCACCATTATTCCAGTGAGGGGGCTTGTCTGAAACTGCCAGCGTTAGGGCTTGCTCACAAGACCTATCATAGCACGAAGCGATAGACTTGAGCCATACATTGGAACCGTCAACTTGTAATGGCAGCTTGCCCTGTTTAATAGCCACAGCGAGAGCTTGGACAGTATCGTTCAGGTCTACTGGCACTTTAGTGTTGTTAACGATCCCAAGGCCCTTTTTGTCAGCAAGTACTATGAAGATGTCGAAACTGCTGGGATTGTTGCCAGCTGTGGTGTTACTAGGGTAGGAAAGCCAGTCCATTATATCCTTGTTCCATGACATTGAGCTAGCAATGGCTGAACCAAGTCGGTAGGCGAACCTGCTTCTTGCATCTGCTTCGGGGAGGGGATCAGAAGAACGTCGTTGTCGTCGCTGAAATTTTTGGATGGTTACTCTGGTAATCTTCACAATTTCTTTACCCTTTTCTTGTAGCCAAGTTTTGAAACACTTTAAACCACACTCCCTTCCAATGTTCCACATCCCTTTCATGGATTCCCATGCAGTATCGTAATCTAAGAACGCTCCTTTGATGACGAAGAAGATCTTAAAGTATTCTCCACATTCAAGATCACAGATGGATGGCGCGTCTTTGTCAGGATTCAAGTAACATGGTGTATGGGATGCAAAAGCCCGGTCTCTTATTTGTTGGCACGTTGGCTTAGTCCATGGACGCAGTAAGGGTACTAAAGATACCTGAAGACACTTACGAACACCATCTATCCAATTTTGTCCCTTTTCAGTAAACCAGCTTTGGTGTTCATCGTAAAGTCGACAAAACTTCTCGGCATATGCTATTGCATAGGCATTGGTGGTGGGCTCGCAAGGGTACTTTCTTTCCAAACAATTGCGGTACCAGTCACACGATTTCCCGGACGGACTGTAGCATTCTGCTGGCAGAGRAGTTGTAGGGGATATTGGCGGATAGAYGGTAGTTTGGCTGGGACTACAGGAACAGTCGTTTGTYACGGGGCCGTTGTTTTTGTCATTGACTTCAAGCATACACTGGTACCAGCAATAAGTTGCAGACCAATCACTGCAGTGGTGCTGTTGGGAGCTTTTTTGCTTGATGTATGTATCAGTCAGGCATGTTGCCCATTGGTACTGATWGTTGTATCTTGGTAGCAGAATGCACTGTACAACTCCTGACGGACCCRRAKAACGRTCGCATGCCATWCCATAATGTACCATCAACAAGAGACCAATTATTTGCCACATTTCAGAACCTAACATTTCATAAAATATTGTAAAAAGTWTATGTTTTTTACTCACTGTTTTGCCTGATATATCGTTTGGTGAAAAATGGTGATGGATAATGAACAGCGCTCGTAATAAAATACTTTGGGAACAGTAAGCAAACGACAAGATTCAGTCAACATCCGCCCTGACTTTGATCAGTCCAGAGACAGATTCAGGATACGGATGAAATTTTAAGGTGACTCGACTGGGTTTTGTTTGGGGCTCACCTGCGAAGTTTAAGTGGGAAATGSGTCGCTGCCAATAAGCTAATTTCAAATAAAGTGTAATAACATGTCTCAAATAAATTCAAGTTTCACATGATATACAATTTATCACGATCGGAGTTACCATAGCAATACAGTGAGGTAATGTCTTTTTTTTTTTTATACATTCCACTTCGGCGAAATCAGATCGTTAAAAGTATTTAAAAGCTCACATGATCGTCTTCAAGTTAACAGGTTTCGACGATTTGTATGGAAGCGTTCCGAAATAATTCCCATAGGAACTTTTTTGGAGCAAAAACGTAAAGGATCCAATACRATTAGTGCATGTGACCGAAACATTTTTTACCGGACTTGGGAAAAGCGTTTGTGCCTTTTGGTCTCTTGTCAAATATTATACTTGTCTTTACAAAAAAACCCGGTAAAACTCAATAATCCGATGATTAATTTTTTTTAAACTTCGAGATCAATTACTATATATAACGCAGTAACATACCCTAAAGTTTCAAGTTGATTGAAATACCTGTATAGCCTCAAATAATAATCTCAATTCCGTAAACATTTGTATCCCAATTCTAAGTATGANATGGCGGTCTTGTGGTCACGTGACTTAGTTTCCATGGTAACCAAGGCTCTAAGGTTCCTTCTTTTCACAAAAGACATTAACTTGCCAAGTTTGGGGAAGATTCGTAGAAAACTGGCTATGATATAGCTAATCAGTTTTTCATCTGAGAGCCATGCCTTAATGATGCTGAGAGAGAAAGAAAGAAAGAAAGAAAGAAAGAAAGAAAGAAAGAAAAAGAAAAAACTCACAAAAATTGAAGCTGTGTATTGTTATCAAAGATCCCTAAACGAATATAGAAACTTGGAAAAAACATTCAAAAAAATTGTAATTATTATTATTATTATTATTATTATTATTATTATTATTATTACGCCACAAACATAACCCAGTCGAGCCACCTCAAGGTTTGACTGAGGTTTGCAATACGAGTGAGACAAAGAAGAATTTTGTGAACTCTAGATCTGTATCAATTATTGCAGTCCAGTGAAGTATATAGGTTAGAGACCATGTCATTTGTCAATGCAAGGCTAGAAAAAATACAAAATGTATGACACAGCTTCTGTGATAACATTGGTTTCTTTTACTTTTTCCTGTTAGCGTCCCTTCCAAAATAGATCTATCGATATTGGATGTACCATGATCTATGCAACTACAAAAGGACTCATCAGCGAAAATGAAAGAGGAAATAAACCTTTGCTGGCAGAACATCTGTGCAACATCACTTCAAAATAATACACCTATAGACCCCTAGCTCTATAATTAAAAAAAATATATATATATATAGGATAATACAAGAATTTGATTATATTCCACTGGAAAATGATAGTATCGTGAGTTTGAAACCAAGTGAGTGTGAAGCAATGGAGGTTCCACGATGAGTTTGGGATAATGGAATCTCGAGTATATTGACTTCCCTCGAGTTTAACGAATCTCAGCTCAGCCCTTTAGAGCTAGYTTTTGAATCCGTTCTCGTGRTCTCAGTGCTAGGAAATGCAATCAATCTGTTYAGTCCGGCGAAAACATTTTTTTGCCAGTTTTCTTGGAAGCTTGTGTGAACAACCGATCGCCTCTTGTAAAATAAAATACATTTATTGATGTACGAGATATCTTGAGATATTTTTTCCTATAGCTATAGCTTTGACAAATGATCTATCCCTTAAAAAGCCGACCCCTTCAAACGTTGTCAGCATA